TAGATAACTAGCTTGCCCTACCTGAGAAAATAATCTTAGGAAGAGGACCCTCAGTCACTCCAAGGACATCAGACTTTGACACTGAGTTAACTCCTGCAAGCGCAGCAGTGTCTGATAACTTTCTTATAAAAATCTCAAGGTCTTTTCACTAGGTTGCAGATGCTAGGTTCTGAGGCGGCCTCTGCCCCTCACTATGGATTCTCCTAATAAAAGAAGACATAGTCCTTGCCTGTTTCAGGTTCTGGCTCTGGTTCTTATTTCTTATCTTTAAACTCCTTCCTTTTCTATCCTCATAAATCTAACACATTCTCATTCTAAAAGGGAGGAATGGGGACATATTGAAATACCTGACCAAAGAAAGACCAGAGTCAAGCAGGGAAAACACCAAATCCTATAACTTCATGTCCAATATTTGGGGCTTTGCTTCTAAAGGGCTTAGGTAATTCTGCCCTGCCAGCTTTGCTACCTTGGTGATAGGATTCAAATCCAGGCAACTCCAGACCCAGAAGCCATAAGGCCCCTAAGAGGAACTGAGTCAACCAACTCCCAGCCACCTGCAAGTTAACAAAAGCAGCCCCAGGAAATTAATGATCAATATATTGTGATCACTAGAGCATGCTCCACAGGCTGACAAACAGGTTTCCCAAGTCCTTAGCTGCAGTTAGTTCTTGGAACTCCGTAATTGTAGAAAACATGTTTTACAGTAGATGGTTTCCTCGATAAGTTTCACCAGGTACAGACTGCATGCCTTCCCTGAGCAAGCAGCCCCCAAAACAGTCCCAAACAGCAGAAAAATATTCTCTTTTTCTTCATTCTGTCCCTTTATAAGCTACCCCTCTGCAGCCATTAGCTGCTGGTTCTTCCTCACACCCGAGTTGAGGACCAGCCTCGCCAAACCCGTTAAACTCTCACTTTTCCAGAGTCCTCTTTGTTTCTGTTTCTCAGAGATCCTGACCCCTGCCACCTTTTTATCTAACACTTGGGCTGGTACCACTCTGTATATACAGCTCTCTTTGCCGATGTCTCATGGCTCTGACATTTCCTACATCTTGGGGTCTCCATGGTCAACCAGGTTTGACTTTACAGCTTCACACGTACATTGCTTGGCCTTAGTGGCTCTCTGAAACTTCAGAGGAAGAATCGACGACCTCCTCAAGTCTTAGATCTTTCATGCCTCTAAAGCCAGCACCACTGCCAAGTTTAGCTGCTCTCTTGGGGTGGCCTTTGGCCCTCTTCATTCACATTATCAGCAGCTTCTGTATGTTATGGATTTTTAGGAGTGGAAACCCCTTTAAGGCCTCTTTTACAAGTTGGTAGCTTAGCTGGCTGAGGGTCTTGCCCTGAGGGTACTCTTTCCATTGTTTAAGTGCAAATCTGAAGCCCTCTCCTTGATGGTCGTAATCTCTTTAATATTGGGAGTGTCTCTTCCTGGATAGGCCTTGGCTGTAACATTAAGCTGCCAGCTCTCCTTCCCTTTCCCTCTCCAAATTGTACATTTTATGTTTCATTCTGCCCAAATGGGGCTCTTTTTCATTGTAGATATGTATAAAATTCACCATTAACAATGAGCTGTCTTGAAATTTCTGCCATCAAAGAAATGAATCCATTACTTTTTAATTAAGTCTCAGGCAACTTAGGCCTTGGGCAGATGGAAAGCAGATTCTTTGCCTAAGTATCCCAGGTGCTGTTTAAGTCCTTGTTTCCCTCTGGAACTACACTGCTCTCAGTGCTATGTTCTTCCAGGGTCTCACTAGACCAGCACATCAACTTTGCTTGTAACATTCAACCAATTTTCTAGAAAGTCCAATCTTTCAAAATCTTCCCTTTTTCTCCATATACATGGTGAGTTTCTTCACAGAAACAGCCCACTCTTAGTACCAACTTCTGTATTAGTTACTTTTCTCTTGTGAAAAACCACCATGATCAAGGAAGCTTGCACAAGGAAGAGTTTATTTGGTTTATGGTTCCAGAGGGAAGAGTCCATCGTGGTAGAGGAGGCAGACTCTTCATTGGCTTAGCTTTTCCTGAGTCATCCATACTACAAGAGGAGCTCTTCAGTAGTGTAGCTGCCCATAAGTTATCCAGGGGATTTTCCATTGGTGTAGTTGCCTTTGAGTTACTTATACTCCTGTAAGTAATCCCTGTAAACTCATTGCTTTAAGCTGGACTTGGACAGAATTCTTTCTTTAGTGCCCAATCAGGGGCCAATGAGTGGGAGTAGAGTATACCTGGGAACATGCACTGTGGCCATCTTCTTCTATGTGATGTGGTGCTATGGTGGTAGTTGTATGGCCCCTGCTATGGGTGGTAAAACATGCAACTGAATCTGAGCTGTCTGCTTGCCTACTTAAGGAAGGAGTTAAAATGGAAAAGGAGCTACCTTTAATCCCAGCACTCAGGAGGCAGAGGCAGAGGCAGAGGCAGGCACTCACTCTGTGAATTCAATGATAGTTTGGTCTGTATAAGCAAGTTAAGGCCAGCCAGGGCTACATAGAGAGACACTATCTAGTAAATAAATAAATAAATAAATAAATAAATAAATAAATAAATAAATAGGCTGAGAGATGGTGCAGTACTCTTTGCTCTTGCAACTCTTGCAGAGGACCCAGGTTCACTTCTCAGCATCCATATGGCAGCTAACAACTGTCCATAACTCTAGTTCCGGGGGATACAATGCCCTCTTCTGGCCTCCGTGAGAATTGCATGACGTGTGCATTTACATGCAGATAAAACACTCATATCCATAAAATTAAAAAATAAAATAAATTTTAAGAATTAGGAAATGGACATGCAGTGGGTATCATTCATGTCACCTCTGATTTGGTGGATAAACTGGATAAAAAGGAGGGTGCAATAGAGGTGTTAGCTTGCTGATTCTTATGGCGGTGGGAAACGAGTACAAACTAGATTTGTGCAAAAGAAGCTTTCTTGTGCCTGTCCTATACCTATAGATTACTGCTGCTGAGGCATGGTGACACATGCCTTTAATCCCAGCACTCGGGAGGCAGAGGCAGGTGGATCTCTGTGAATTCAAGGCCACCCTGGTCTACATAGCGAGTTCCAGGCTAGTTGGGGCTACAGGGAAACCCTGTCCCAAAAAGAAATAAAAAAGGAAAGAAAGAAAAAAGATGGATTAATGCTGCTGTCCATGATAGTGAAAGGACACTGCTTTTTACAGCAGGCAGTGGTTACTGTGGAGATTCCTAATTGATTGAACTACTAAGAATGTTTCTGTTGCTGTAGTCTATATTGCTGCTGTGGCATAAGTACCCTAAGTGGTAGAAAATAATCATACCTCTATATCACCCTCTCTAAGTCTCAGGGAGCATTCAGGATGAAAAGGCAGAAAGAATGTGAGAACCAGAAAAAGGGGTAGAGTGTTGTGTAGCTGTTTACACTGGGTTGGGCATGACTTGCTACCTTGAGTCAGAGCAGCTGTGATCACTCCTATGAAACCCTCATGAGATCAGGCCTATTAATATTCCCTCATGGAAGGAGTAGGGAGGCATATGAGGTGCTCAGGGACTTTGGGAATTTATCCTCATTAAGAGACCCTCATGGGATCAGACCTATTAACATTGCTTTGTAAAGAGATTTGGGCATCTTATAAGGTTCACAAAGGTTATAGGTCTCAAAAGATCTTTACAAAGCCCCACTTTCTGCAAGGTTATACAAAAGGTAAAAAAAAAAAAATGGACTGGGGTCTTTGGTTGTATAACTGCCTGTACATTTCCTGGGAGACTCAAGTAGCACAGCTTCTCCTGAAATCAGTCATGCTGTAAGTGGGACTCTCCAGTAGTACAACTTTTTGTGAGTTTTCCATCCTGCTAATGGGACTATTCAGTGATATAGTTGTCTATCAGTTGCCTAGGGGATTTCTCTCAGTGGTGAATCTGCTATTGAGCCGCCCATGCTCCTGTAAGTAATTCAATAAACTAATATTTTCACCAAACTGAACTAGGACGGAATCCTGGGCCCATCCTCTCTTACTGGAATGACTAGATATTTCTTTGCATCTCCCCATGAAAATTATTATGACAATCAGCATTTTCTATGTGTGTAGGTAGTGTGAATGGGATTGATTTCATGATTTCCTTCTCAGTAAATTAATTATTGGTATATGGAAAATCCATTAATTTTTGAATGTTGATTTTGTTTTCTTTACTGAATTTATCAGTTCTAATAGTCTTTTGTAGGAGTCTTTAGGTTTTTCTGTGTATAGAACCCTTTCATCTACAAACAAGGATAATTTGACTCCCCCCTTTCTTATTTGCTTTGTCTCGTCAAACTTTTATTTTGTTTACTTTCTGGTGTGTGTCTCTTGTAGTTTTTGAGAGCCAGGCATATATAGAATAGTAGGTAATGAAATAAATATCATTTTCTTAGGATTAGATAGTAGGTGTTTCCTTTTGATGGGGCTTTTGTGTGGAGATTTTCATTTGTCTAATCGGGAACTGATTTATATTTGCTATTTTTAAATTCTCCTGGTGCTATCTTGTCCTTGTCTTCCCACTTGGCTTTGGATCTTCCCTGTGTAATGATTCTCAAAGACATTCATTCTCTCTCATAATTCTCCCAGCTTTATCCCAGTTTCTTTTGCTTACTAGTGAAGTGGCCAGGCTGGGTGTGAGGGGACTCTCTGATACCTTTTTTGGTCTGGCCTTGAACTCACAGAGATCCACATGCCTCTGACTCCCAAGTGCTGGGATTGAAGGCGTGCACCACCATGCCCAGCCTGAAGCTGCCTTTTGACAGGCACTGTGGACCTGTGTTGAGGATAGAGGAAAAGCAGAGCTTAATTCTTCTGTTTCCTTTCCCCTGGTTGTAGTAAAATCCCTCCAGTGTCTATAGGGTATTGGCTTTGGTTCATTTCCCCTCAGAGAGTAAGCCTTTTGTTCTGTGAGAAGTGAGCCTGGAGGGAATACTTGACAATGGTTTCTCTTTGTCTTCCTAACCATCACCCTGAAAAGACTTTTCTTTTTACTCTTCTACTTTAACAGCTTTGTGGGGTTATTGGAGGTAAAACCTGCAAAGGGATAGAAATCTAGGTCTGCAGTCCCTCAGAACTTCATACTGTCACACTAGCCTACACCTGACCCTTAGAAATTCATCTGGCATCTGCCCCAGGTAAGCAAATGCTCAGGTCCTGCTTTTCCCTGAAGGTACCTAACTCTTCATGTTTTATGATAGATGTTTATTGTGTGACTTCATTTTTCTAATGAACTCAAGAAAAGTTGTTAATTTCCAACTTGTCTGGAATTTTTTTCTTGTTGTAAGGATAGGAAAAATGTGTTTTCTACTTCTATTTGACTCTAAGCTGATATTAAAATATAAAAATATGTAAATATAAAAAATTTAAAAATATTTTTGAAATTACTGCCTCACAAATACTTCATCTCACCTCACACGCCTCACATCATCTCAGTGGTTTGGGGGCACTAAATCTTTGAAAACTTGGAGATCCTCCTTATAATAGTATTTACTCTTGTACTGAAAGGCCCCCTTCCCTAGCACCCCCTTCTGATTCAGGTCCCCTTCCCTAGCACCCCCTTCTGATCTGTGGTTTTGCACAAGCCTAGGAAAACCATGGACACTACAGCAGGCCAGAAGTCAAAATGGCATAGCTAGTTTGTATGTTGTATGTTAGAACTTTCGGTGCGCTTATTTGTACTAATTAGTGTTACTGAAATTTTTGGGGTTCCTTTGTGGCAGATGATACAAGAGAAAATTGGGTCCCCTTTCAGGGTTCTTAGCCTCATTCATAAAAGGTTTTAAGAATGGACTCAAATGGAAGCTTTAGGACAATTTTATTAGAGTGTAAAGAAAATTCCTCAACAGCTATCCTGAGGAAGAGAATGGAGAAGGGAGGAGGGAACCCATAAAGCCAAGCTGGTTTAGAGTCAGCATGGAGGTCAGACACATAGCAGACTAGCAACCACAAGGTGGGGAAGGAAAAAGAAGCTTTGCTTAGAAGTTTTAAATAAAGAATAAGAAAGCCTAAACTGTTGGAGCAGCCCAAAACATTAGGGAAAACATGCTTAAAAAGAGATATAAAGAAGAAAAGGAGAAAGTGGATAGACTTGTGGAAAGCTGCATGTCTATGGCCCAGTCTGTAAGCACTGCACTAGAAGGTGGGGTTTCTGGGCAGGAAAAGTTCACATAAGGTAAACCTTACTTTCTTAGGGGTCCTATGTCCAGATGATTGACCAGCAAAACTAGAAAATTGGGTCTTTATCCAGGCCAGAGATTTTATTCTCTTGTCCAGTTTTTCTCTTAAAGGGCTTTTTTTTGGTTCCACCATTTTGGAATGGTGTCCTTCAGATATAGATGAGAATGAGAATGCCACCTTGTTTATTTCACCAAAGGAGTCAGGGGACAGTGACATCTTCTCTGGAATAAAGCATGTTTGGACCTGAGCTATAGAGATCCATGTTACTTTTAGAAGCTGAAATGTCTCTTTGTATATGACATGAGGGCAAGACAACAAAATTTCCTCTTAAGAGATATAAGTGTAGGAAGGGGGTGAAAATTCAGAATGGACCCATCCTTTTCTGAGTTATAGTACTGGATGAAATGAGGAAAGCCAGGTGGAGATAGTAAGCCTCTTGGAGACACTATTGGAAAAGAAGAGGGAGATAACATGGTGATTCACTTCTGGTAAGTAATCCTAGTGGTAGTGGAGGAGTTTGGGTGGGACAATCACTGTGTGGGTAATACCACTGGAAAAGAGATAGGAGATGTCAAAATGGTAATGTTTTACCCATGAGTGCTACCACAGGCAGATGGAAAGGAAAGTCAAAATGAAGGGGAACAAACAAGCTTAGAGGTTTATCTGTTATTCAGCAAACATTTACTGACTCTATGCATAGTTCTAAACATTTTATATTTACCTAATTTATTACTCCAAGGCATCTCGATTTTGTGGTACAGTTACAATTGCTTTCTGCCAATCCAGATTAGAAAGAAATATACTCAAATTTTCTTCTAATATTTTCACACTTAGATCAAGCCAGTTTAGAGTTTGTGTGTATGGTATAAGGTGTGGATCCAATTTAATATGTTTCTACATTTTTTTGTGATAGGATCTTGCCATATAGCATAGGCTGGAATTGAAGTTACTGTGTACTCCAGTCTTGCCTTGAACTTAAAATCTTTCCCCAGCCTCTCAACTTCTGGCATTGGAGGTATAAGCTACCATGTCTAGCTTAATCTGTTTGTTAATGACCATGTTTAATGGGTCATTAACAAACCAAAAATATATAGCCACAGAACTCAGGAATGTGACCTTTGTTTGAAAAAGAATCTTTGCATATGTAATTAATGATCTTGAGGAAGGGCCGTTCTGGATTTAAAAAAATGGGCCCTGAATCCAATGACAAGTATCCTGATAATAGAAAAAGGAGAAAGACCTAGGTGGTGTGAAAACAGACAGAAATTAGAGTTATTTTTATGGTTTATATATGAAGTATCTCCCAGAAAGACTCATGTGCTTGATCCTCAAATCACTATTTGAGAAGTGATTGGATGAGGATTCTCATTTCCTCAATGGATTAATTCATTGATGAGTTCATAGCTGAATGGCTCTTAGGAGATGAAAGCTAGTTGGAGGAAGTATATCACTGGAAGGCATGCCTTCAAAGGGTATTATTGTTCTTATACCCTCTCTGTTTCTTGGCTGCCACGAAGTAAGTAGCTTTCTTTCATGACGATCTTCTGTCATCATCTTTCTGCCTTGCCAACAAGCCCCAAAGCAAAAGAACCAGCTGGTCATGAAATGAAATCTCTGAAACTGTTAACCTAAACAAATCTTTTATCCTTTAAGTTGTTTTTCTCAAGTATTTTGTCACAGCAATGAAAAACAGACTAATATAGTGATACGTTTATTAGAGGGCTAGGGTGGTAGCTTAGTGGTAGAATATTTATCTACATGCTTGAAGATTCCCAGAACTATGCAAATACAAATCAAGGAATATCAAGGATTGCTGGTGCTCCTAGAAGCTAGAAGAGAGGCATAGAATAGATTGATAGAAATAGAATATAATGAAAATGCAAATGTTTGAGGAATAATAAGGATCTTTTGTTTTAATACTCTCTGGCAGGATTCTTCCACAAGCAGATGAGCCAAACAGCTATGGTAAATCACAAAACTGAAAATGAACCAAAGTGAAAAGGATAAATTCCAGGCAGCATCTTATTGTAACCTGCTATTTAAAAGAATCCTAGTGTTTTCATCTAAATAGGATATAAAACTCATTTCAGATTATTCTTACTACATCAGTCCTGCCTTCCAAGAACTCATATGTAACTGTGCTATAGCAATTGTTCCCAGGTATGTGTCTGATCTCAGAACACACAGATAATATAGTTATGATGTGACAGCCATGAATGGTGGGCTAATTTACATTGTTTACACTTCTATGACCAACGCTTAGGGGATGGTCAGCTTTTAAAAAAATGAATAGTATCTTCCTACCTGTCCCCCAACACATGTTAAAACAGAAGAGTATTTTGTTTCAGCTTTGTTTTTACTCAGTAATCCAATCAAGCATGCATGAGTTTGTTTGCAAGTGAAAGCTGTATAAACATTTTAAATATTTCAAATAAAATTATTTCATCTTACCCCAGTTAAAATGGCTAAGATCCAAAAGCCAAATGACAAATGCTGGCAAGGATGTGGGAAAACTGGAATACTTATTCATTGCTGGTGGGAGTGCAAAGTGGTATAGCCATTATGGAAGTCGGTGTGGAGATTACTCACAAAGCTTGAAATAGATTTACTACATGATCTAGCCACAGCACCCAAAGAACTCTGTAACCTACTACAGAGATACCTGTTCATCTATTTTCATTGCTACTCTATTTGCAATAGCCAGGGAATGGCTAGATGTCCATCAGCTGATGAGTAGATAATAAAAGTATGGTACATTTACACTGTAGACTATTATTCAGCTCTTAAAAAAACAAAATTATGAAATTTGCAGGTAAATGGATGGAAATAGAAACAATCATCCCGAGTGAGGTAACCCAGACCAGAAAGACAAATGTTGCATATTCTCTCTCATGAATAGATGCTAGCTTTGAATCTTTAGATATGTGTGTTTCACTTATATATACATGAGCTGTAGAACTGACAAGGAGAAATCAAGCTGGTGCTGACTTCAGAGCCTCTTCTCTACCGGCTAGCTTTCATAGTACTGGAAAGTACTATGCATGTTACCTAAAGAGAAAATTAATCATCATTCTTACCCAGCTGTGACTCCTATGAGTTACAACAACAACTTCCTTGGAAAGATATGACTCTGTTGCAATAGCAGCATGAATATTATGGGAGTAACCAGCCATTCTCTAATCAGATTTAAGATCCACTTCTTAGGATGAAGCCCACACCTGACATTGATACTAGGCTTAGGAATCTGAGGCTAGACAGGTCACAGGACATAGGAAAGAACTTAGTACTAGTTTTCTACTAAATCATTATTATATTAAACTGACTCCTAATGACTTATTGTTATACCCATAGATTAATGTATTTCTCAACTCTCATCAGAGAAGTTTCCTTATGCAGCACATGGTGACTAACACAGGAATGTATAATTGGCTAATGTGCAGAGAACAAGAGGCTACAGAGTGCTTATCCCTGAATAGGACACCTGTATCACTCTTCTGCCTCCCAAGGCTCAGGGATCATTGTGGAAGAGGGAGAAGAAAGAATGTAAGACCCAGAGGTGGCGGATGACTACATGGAAGTAGAGTTTTCCAGACAGCTGGTCAGTTACTTGTATGAATTTATAGCAATGGTGACAGCATGTAAAAGTCCTATGCAAGCTGAAATCAGACAAAATCACGTGGAGACATGGGGAAGTATGTCAGAAACCCCAAGCCAACCTAAGGAAAATTTGTCAACCCATGGCTGCTGGGAGGGGGATCCATAGTCTCTTTGAAAGATGGGACTCTTGGCAGATTAACCAGGATGGACCCACACTGAAAGACATTTGGGGATACAAATTAGACTCCATAGGTCTTTATCTATCTATCTATCTATCTATCTATCTATCTATCTATCTATCTATCTATCTATCTCTATTATCTATCATCTATGTACATTAAATTGGTCAGGAAACTAGTAA